TATAACAAGTAACTAAACTTGTAAATTGCCACTGACAGCTTTGTTAATGCATGAAAGCGACTTAGGCAACAGCAACTATCGCAGTGTATATAGAAACGGGTGTAAGGTAACCACTATTTGTATTTGGCCCGACTACAAGTATTTGGCCGAATACCAAATAGTTATTAGGTCCACTATTCGGCACAGCCCTAACAGAAAGATCCCTAACAACTGGATATGATCCGCAGACCACTTGCTAGGCTTTCACAGGCCACATTTGGCCCTTTAGGTGGCCAAGTTGAATAGCCTTATCTTACAAGACTGCACAGGCTTTGTCAGACAGACAGAAAAAATCTGGACCACAGGAGCAACCCCATCCTGTTTATGAAGCACTCTGGAAAAGACGCATAGCAAACATTAATTGCTAAAGAAGAAAATTCATATTCAGCAGCTGCAGTAGCACAATGGCTAACATGTTTGCCAGATAGGCCAGTGGTAGTGTCTTCAAAGCCATAACTTTTCCAGTAGCACAGCTGTTCTCAACCTATAGGCTGCGACCTTTTTAAGGTCGAACGACCCTTTCCCATGGGTCACCAAAGACCATCGCAAAACAAATATTTATTGAAGTTATAATGCAGAGATGAAAAATAATTGTACGGTCAGGAGTCACCACAACATGAGGAACAGTATTGCAGGGTCGTGGCATTAGAGAATCACTGTAGTAGCAAAAACTTTCACAGGAGGACAGAAAGTCCAGAAATAACTTTAATGAAAATTACGAGTGCATTACTTTTATTATTACAATATACATAGGGCTGGTGACTGTTCTCTTCTTCTTCTTCGTCGCGTTCATGGGCTGTAAACTCCTGTGGAAAGTTATAGTTGTTCATTCACTTTTGCACTCTAGTCCTGTCTACAGAAACAAGAGTGTTGTGTGTTTACATCTGTTTCACAGGTCTGACTCATTTGCATGCAGACTATTGGTTCCTTGCCTCTCGGGCAGATGTACTCCGACTTTGAAGGAAGCTCCTATTTAGCAGACTCTTATGGCATGCTTTTGGGCAGGCAGTGGGTCTATTCTTATTTTTCTCACAGCGGGGCCACGAGACCCGCACCGGGAATGGTGATTATTGTGATGCCAGGTTTATTTAGTATGTCCTTACCATTAACATTTACAGAACACATTATGCTTCGAGGGAAATCAGTTAATAGTCATTCACAGATCATGTGATGCTTGGGACTGAAAGATTTCAAGAGGGAAAAAGATAAAGTGTCGGAGAGTACTTTATTAGTGTTTATTACAGATTGCTGCATTTATTGTCTATGGTTAAGCACCAGCAAGGAAATTAAAATTACAATTTTGAAAGCATGCAGCTTCACTGTAGCAAAGTATGTATGTGAGTTGTGAGTCCTTAAGAAAGAAAATAGGGGCTTTTGAGCTGAAATGCTACAGGAAGACTCTCAGAATACCATGGACAAAGAGAAGAAATATTGCCATTTCAACAGATCTGTCTCGAAAGCTGAAATATTTTGGTCACATCAAGCACTATGGCGGACTGGAAAAAAAAGCAGAAGTCATGGTACCGGAAAGAAGGAGCAGGGGCGGACCAATACGAAGATGGGCACATGATATAAGTGACTCCTTAAACATGAAAGTACTTGAGGCTGGAGAGCTGGTGAGAGACCGCGTTTTTTTTCAGGCAGATCGTGACGAGAGCGGCGTTCTGCAAAGGACCTGCGACATGATGATGAGAGAGTGTAACTTTTTCTTGGGAGTAAACACCACAGGGGCACTAACTACGTGCCAGCAGTTTTATCAACGAACAAACTGCTGCCCTAAACAATTTACAGTATACAAATGAAACTCAAAAATTATTTCTACCTTCTTTACAGAAATTCTGTTTACATTGAATATGCTTACAATTACAATCGTTTTCTATCAAATCTTTTGAAACATAATTTACGACAGTGCTTTGTAAAAGGGGGCAGGGGGACATTCGTAAGGCACACAAAAGGCTTGGGAAACACTGCTCTCCGAGTTCAGCTTGAAAAAAAAAAAAGTTTATATTTATATTAATTTTCTATAAAATACTTTTTAGTAAATAAAAGACTAATATGGTTCTTGGAGACAAATTCGGTAATCACCACCACGCAGACAGAATACAGACAGAACAGAAATATAGAGGACCAGTTGACATATCTGACACAGGAAATTGAGAATGCCTTCCAGGAAAAAAAGAAAGTTCTTGCTGTCTTCTTTGACCTCCCTCGTGCTTTTGATACAGTTTGGAAAGAAGGCCTACAACTAAAACTGCTACAGGCAGGAGTTGTGCACAACATGTACAAGTGAATCAAAGACTTTCTTTTCCAACACAGAGCTAGATTCAGAATTGATGGACACATCAGCAAACTGGCAAAACTAAGAGAAGGAGTTCCCCAGGGCAGTGCGATAGCACCAACCCTGTTCCTGGTTTACATAAATGATATCACAGCAACCTGCTACCAGCATGTTTCTAATACCCTACATGCTGATGACTTTGCAGTTTGGACAGCCTCCGATTTCACTATCACAGCCTCATAACTGTTACAGAAAACTGTGGAAAATGTAGAAGCCTGGACCGAAAATTGGGGTCTAAAGCTAAATAATTCAAAAAGCACAGCATCACTTCTCTCTCTCTCCGCCAAAAAAGAAAATATCGAAAATTGGATAAAAAACCAGCTCATTCCACAGACTGACACTCCTACTTTTTTGGGCGTTACACTTGATTCGCGACAAACTTGGAAGTCACATGTAGAAGCAGTACAGGGAAAAGCATTCAAGAAGCTTGCAGTGATAAAAAAAATTAGTGGGTACCACATGGGGCGCTAACTCTAGAATCCTAAAACAAGTATATACTGGAGCAGTCAGGCCAGTCGTGGAATATGTGTCCACTGCATGGGCTGCAGCAGCCAAGACAACAATGGGAAAACTGGACAAGGTTCAGAATATGGGATTAAGGAGTGTTCTCGGAGCCATGAAAACCACCCTCATCAGAGAGATAGAAAGGATAGCAGATACTGAACCACGCGAACTCAGAAGACAATACAAAACTCTTTTACAGTATGAGAAATTAAAAAGACTTTAAAGTCACCCACTGCATTTTAAATTTCAAGAGAGAACAAAAAACAGACTGAAGCGTCAGAGCCCCAACCACCTTGCTAGAAAACTGTACAGACAGCACCAAGATCTGCTTGAAAGAGATGTTGCACTGTGCAAAAAACTTAGGCCAGAACCATGGACAAGCAAGCCAGAGAAAGCAAATGTAGTCCTAAAGGTACCAGGAATCACTTCAAAAGATGCCCAGACGGAGACACAACAGAGAACCCTGGCTCTTGCTATGCTTGATGAGAAGTATCCAAACACCACTTGGACTCAGGTTTCCACTGATGGCTCTGCTACAGAGGCAGTCAGAAAGGGAGTGGTGGAATTTACATTAAACCCCCTAGCAGTAGAGCAGAAACTCTCTCTCTACCAGCAGGTAACATCTGCACTAACTTCAGAGCTGAAGCAACTGCCTTCCTCTCTGCAGTCCAACATCTCATCACTCAAGAACATAGAGGGCACAAAATTGTTATACTTAGTGACTCATTGTCTGTTCTCCAAGCACTTTTCAGAAAAAAAAACAAGACAAACTAATTGCAGATCTAAGGATCAACATTGGCTTACTCTCCATGGAAGCAGAACTGGTCTTGCAGTGGATACCAGCCCACTGTGGTATTCAAGGAAATGAGAGAGCAGAGCTACAAGGAAACCAAAACAGCGCTAAAGCAGTCTCTCAAGCGGGAGTGGAGAAGGCAGAATGGAGATTACAGACCATAGAGAGAGACAGCATCTGTGAAATGGCGATGTGCGTACAAAACTCAAGTTCTGGAACAATGCTATCCTCTAAAAAACGGCCACATAAACACCCTGACAGGGCCGCAATCACGTAATTTTATTTGCTCGTGAGTCCCAGCCGTCTAGTTTAGCCCCTGTTCATGCTGCGCGTAGCGGCGTGGGAAATACTCTCGACGACGAAAACTGTGTTAACAGTGCAGCACTAGCCGTGCCTTGTTCCGATCATATTTAGCCGAATTTCAGTGGCCGCACAGCCAAATAGAGCAAATTTTCGGGCACTATTTGCAACTTTGCCACAATTTTTAGATATAAAGGCCTCACTTATCGCTAAGTAGATGATTTTGTCATTTTTCCTGTTTTTTTGCTCCTCATTATTTTTGAGTTAAAGTTTTTGAATGCTTACAAAACATCACGTAATGAGGCCCTGTTAGGGTGTTTTTTTGGGCCGCCATAATATGTGGCTGCTGTTCGGAGGATAGCCTGGAACAAAACTAAAGTCCATAAATGGATGAACAACCAGAACTTTCTGCCAGTGAACTTCAAGAAGTAAAGGACATTACAAATTCACACAACCTATGATAACAGTGTAAGTAGTTTACTATGAAATCCTTTTAATGATACTTTACAAACTCAAGTTACATAAGATATGTTGATCTTATTCTTCTTCGTGTTTACCAGCTGTACACTCTGGTGGAAAGTTCTGGTTGTTCGTCCACTTCTGAACTGCAGTCCTGCTCCAGAACCTGAGTGTTGCGTGTGCATCAGTTTTACAGATCTGACTCACTTGAACCAGACTGTTGGTTCCTTGCCTCTCAGGCAGATGTACTCCGACTTAAAAGTAAAAGGAAGCTCCCCAATTAGTCGACTCTTACGACATGCTTTTGGGTAGGCAGAGGGTCTATTCTTGTATTCCCTACGATGAGGCCCCGGAACCCACACCGGAAAGATACGTTTATGTTAAATGTCAAATTGAGGATCAACATCACAGCACTCGGGACACTCCCACAAGTGCTCAGTCCCCATCTTCAGCAGCGAAGAGTTCCAATTCTTATGGTACTAGTAACAGTCTTATTGTAAATCCACCTCATCCTTTCCCTGGGTGTTCAGCGTCAGCCAGATCCCTTGGTAAGATATGTTTAAAATGTCAAAAGTTTTCTACATAGTCCGCTGAATGATATTTTTCAAAGCAATTTTTAGGATGCAGGTGTGGTTTAATTGAGCAACCTTTACAAATAAATTTTGTCCGAATTCGTTTCTGCGGTGTACTACAGACTCTACAATTTCTGTCTTGGTCAATGTAGGCTACAACATGCTTCACATCTTGCAGACGTTCGACTGCGATGCTTCTTTTTCGACACTTGCCGATTTTTCTAATGTCATCTGGATGAACTTTAGATGCTGCAAAGTTTGCAAGTTCTTCTACAAGCTTTTTCTTGAAAGTCAACAGCGACATTTTGTTCTCATTTGTCAGTGTGTGTAGCACATGGGCGTTGAGCTGTGTAACATCTAGCAACCAGGGGAAAAAATTCTCACAGAATTTTACTGATTTTCGGTTCAAAGTGTCATAATACTCTGCAGTCTGGTTCACTCGACTGCATCCCTTCATACAAGTTTGATGTTTGATAATCACTGCTGGCTTATCTAACAATGTGCCTTGGCTAGTCTGAACAGTTTCCATCTTTACTTCAGCTTTCGTTGACACACAAATAATCGGCTTTCCAGTCTTATGATCTTGCCAAGCAACACATAGGACATCATCAGTAGCATGATGAAACCAAGCGTGCTGCCTGTGATGTAGTCGAAGTTTCTTCATCTCCAGCGGGAAATGTGTAGCATTTATGCTCACGGTTCCTGTGTAGCAAAACTGTTTATTCAGCAAAAATTTTATCAATCCATAGGATGTGAAAGAATGATCGGAAAATATGTGATGGCCTGGTTCTAGTCCCTGAAGTAAGGAATCAAATAGTTTGATCGTATGTTGGCTATTGGTTTCACATTCTCTTCCAAACGATAGTTCTTTGCCATGATAAATCAACATGTTGAAAACGTAACCCGTAATACTGTCACACAAGCCAAAAACCTGTGTTCGATCTGAGTGTGGCTTTGATGTACTCTGCATTTTAAAACCGTGTTGACTATTACATCTGATTACAATTTCATCTATAGTAACATCTTCAAATGGATAGAATGCCTCTTTGTACCTGGAAATCAGCAAATTGAAAAATGGTTCTGTTTTACTCTTATCTACCACAGTTGCTTCTTTTGAAAAATTGAACAATGTATAGAATATTGCTTGGAATCTTTTCCCAGAAAACATTTGGTGGTACCATTCACAGTAATCCGCAGCATTTGTCGACCAGTAATCTTTCACACGAGGACGACGATTGATTCCCATGTGAATGAGAACTGCTAGGAATTTGATCATCTCATATTCACTAACAGGTTCCCAAGCAGAATAAATAGATCTGGGTCGTGGGTGGCACTGCTGACTGGCATAGTTGTTGACACTCTCTAACAAGTGCATCAGAAATGTCTCCGTAAACAATGACTGAAAGCACTGCAGTGGTGTGGGGTTTGAACCAAGGTCTACCCTAACACCACTCTCAGTTTTACATCCAAAGCTGTGCGTTGTTGACAGGTGGTCTTCGCTGAAAGGGTCCACAATCTGCCACATGTCTTTATCTTGATCTTGTGCAGCTGACGACTGACCCTGGTACTTTTTTCTATTTATATATAAAGCCTGCCTGTTTTCATTTTCAAGATTCACATTAGCGCTGTTATTTGTATGGATGACTTCACACTTGTAGTCAGAATAATCTGACTGATTATCTACATTACAATCGTAACTACTGGCACTATCGTCGCTGATATTGGTTTCATCCGTGACAGCCATGTCTTTTTCTATCACAAAATTATCAACAGAATCATCATCACTTGAATCACCATTTGCATACACACTGCAAGTTAAATGCGTCATCAGGTTTTTGGCTTCATCAGAACTAAATCCACAAGGTCGGGGATAACCTTCTCGTTGCTCCATTTTAACAACAAATGTAAGAAATCCACACCAAATATCATAGAAATGGCGACCTAACTTCTATTTTTGAACAGGAACAGTGTTGCCCAGTGTTGCCACTTTTCTTTGACAAAAAAGATCCAAAACGGGGTTTAAAAATATCTAAAAAGATCTAAATTTGCGTGGAAAATATTTAAAAAAAATATCCAAATGAAAAGAGTCACAAATTACAAAACTATTGAAATGACTTACCCTATAGACACATGTCCTCATCTTCACTGATGTCTGCTTCACAAGATCCACAGGATAAACTTAGCTTGGATGATGAAGTTGAAGCTTCAGATCCCAAATTACTCTGGTATGCTTTAGCTGTTCCTATTTCTTTTAATACACAATCAGGGAGCTGATAAGTGGAACAGCATTTTCCTACTCTCATCAGGCCAAAATTTTATTGTCAAGATAGCATTTAAGAGGTCTAATTTCATCCTGTTTCTTAGGTTAGATTTGATATAATTCATAGCACTGAAAACTCTTTCTGTGTCAGCATTTGAGTGGGGTTGTATCATGGCAGACATGGCACATTCAACGAGCTTACAGAATGGACTGTTTGATGACGCATCTTTAATTGTCTCACTTCACTCAAACACGCTTCAGTTTCTGTTTTGTTTGTCCATTAAACTAAGTTTAGTTTGGTTAACTGATATTCTGCTTCCGTGACACTATTGTCAGTAGCACCTAAATATTTCGTAACTTGACAATATTTAGGTACGTCCTTTACTGGCTAAAGTATGTTGATCACAGAAAAAAGTGAAATATTTTTCAATACATCTAGATTTTCAGGAAGACTCTGCTTTAGTTGCTTGAACAATGAGATAAGGAAATCTTGACAGCATTTTCTTCAGTTGTTCTCTTCATTCTCTGTTAACAGTCCTTTTGTTTTTAAATCATCAATTTTTGATTCAATTTGATATCCAAGGTATGGTTTAGGAGCCAAATAGCTCTCTATAGTGCAAGTGAGCAAATCAACTTTTGAAGTTGGCAACACCAGTCTTTTACCAACTGAGTAAAATAGCAAAGTGAGATCGTCAAGTAATTTAACTTTATCAACATGTTTGGATTCGAACAGTTTATTAACTTTTTGCACTTCCATTAGAATAGGTTGTAAAAAGAGAAGGAATGCCAAATTTTTTCCATCACTGTACATTCCATATAGTATCTCAGCTGTGTAGCACTTTTCACTTTGTCTTGTTATTTCAAAGTGTGTCTTTAACTCCAACAATTCTTTCAACAGCTGGTTGTATTGATAACCACCTGGTTTTGCAATCTGACAGAATTTTCAGTGGTGTGGAACCATTATTTAAGGCTGAATACAATGCATTGTATTGCTGTTGTCTGGCAAATGATTTTGAAAACCAGTTATGTGTTTCAGCAATAAGGTATTCCAAATTCCTTGGTAAACATTCAGATGAAGCATGTGATAATGCTAGCTGCAATGAATGACACATACATTTTATAAGTATTAACGATGGGATAGCTTCCTTCAACTTGGCATAAACGCCATTGTTTATGCCAACCATCACTGAGGCATTATCGGTACCAATTGCAACCAAATTTGTCAAGTCTAACTGTTTGCTGATTAAAGGTTCTTCAGTTCTTGAACTATACTTTCTGCATCACACTTTTTTCCAATTGAACTAGTCCAAGATATGTAGAAATTACTTTGTCTGTATTGTTGCTGTAATATATAATACACACACCAAGCACTTTTCAGTACCGAAATATCATTGGATTCGTCTAATAATAAACTATATTTATTTGTAGAAATATCACTGATCAAATCTTTTTCGAAGTGAGAAAATAAAGTATTTCTTATAATATGTGTACACTTGCTGCGATGCATTTTCACATCATCCAAACTTTACTGTCAGAAATTGTGTTTTTTAAACAAATCAATCAAATGGTCACAGTTTGAAATTGCACAATGGCAACTTAAAAACATTGCGACCGACCCTTCAACTTTTGATGATTCATTTATCAGTGTAGTTCTGAAAACAGATGTCAGCGGTGTAATATCTTTGAATGGAACTGCAGTTTTATGCTTGTTAGTCTCTGCATGCTTCTTTAAGTCTTGTATTGTCGCTTTAATTTCACACTTGCAGTACTTACAACGAGCCTTGGTTATATCCCCAGGAACTGCCATCACCCAGTCTTTAATTTTGTCATCATGCAAATACTCTTTCCGAAATTTTTGCTCATACTTTTTGGCTTTTGGCATGTGAAAGTTTTTTTCAAAGTGAAAGCCACACAAGAAGGTGAGCAAATTATTTTTTTAAAAATCACATGAAAAAGAAACACAGAGTCAGCATCACAGCTAAACTTCACAACACAGTGAGGATACACGGTTGAAACAGTTAGTATGATTTACGCGCGATTTCGATTAATCAGCACCGGGGTTGTCAGATATTTGAGTGTTTGACCTTAGTGAAGTTCAAAGTTTAAGTAATGGCAGTTGCCACAATGTACGTGCCAGACCAAAACAAACATATTTTAGTAAAATATTTTACTCAATAATAATTAAAATGACACTAGTCCAATCTATAAAATATCTAACTTCATATGAAAAGAATCTAGAAAAATATTTAGTATTAAACGTCCAGGATCTAAAAAATTTGGATTACAAAAGATCCATTGCCACTTTTCTTTGACAAAAAAATTTATCCAAAACAGTGTCAAAAAATATCTAAAAAGGTCTAAATCTGCGTGGGAAAAGATCTAGAAAAAACATCCAAATTGAAAAAGTCAAAAATAACATAGCTTTTGTTATGACTTACCCTACATAATCATGTTCTCACCTTCACTGATGTCTGCCTCACAAGATCCACAGGATAAACTTAGCTTGGATAATGAAGTTGAAGCTTCAGATCCAAAATGACCCTGGTATGCTTTAGCTGTTCAAATTTCTTTATAAGTGGCAACAGTAGGCTTATTTCCCTAGTCTCATCAGGCCGAATTTTAATGGCACGATAGCATTTAAGAGGTCAAATTTCGTCATGTTTCTTAGGTTAGATTTGATATAATTCCTAGCACTGAAAACTCTTTCTACGTCAGCATTTGAGTGGGGTAGTATCACGGCAGACATGGCACTTTTAAAGAGCTTACAGAATGGACTGTTTGATGAGGCATCTTTAAATTGTCTCACTTCACTCCAAAACGCTTTAGTTTCTGTTTTGTTTGTCCATTCAGCTAACTCTATTTTCGTTAACTGATATTCTGCTTCCGCGACACTATTATCAGCAGCCCCTAAAAATTTCATAACTTTACAATATTTAGGTATGTCCTTTATTGGCTGAAGTATGTTACTCACAGAAAAAAAGTTAAATATTTTTCAAAACATCTAGATTTTCAGGAAGTCTCTGCTTCAGTTGCTTGAATAATGAGATAAGGAAATCTTGACATCGTTTTCTCAAGTTGTTCTCTTCATTCTCTGTTGTCAGTCCTTTGGTTTTTAAATCATCAATTTTTGATTCGATTTAATATCCAATGTGCGGCTTAGGAGCCAAATAGCTCTCTATAGTGCAAGTGAGCAAATCAGCTTTAGAAGTTGGCAACCACAGTCTTTTACCAACTGAATGAATATGGCAAAGTGAGATCCTCAAGTAATTTAACTTTATCAACATGTTTAGATTCGAACAGTTTATTAACTTTTTGCACTTCCATTCGAATAAGTTATAAAAAGAGAATGAATGACAAATTTTTTTCATCACTGTACATTCCATATAGTATTTCAGCTGTGTAGCACTTTTCACTTTGTCTTGTTATTTCAAAGTGTGTCTTCAACTTCAACTTTAAATTGATAACCATCTAGTTTTGCAATCTGGCAGAATTTTCGGTGGCGTGGAACCATCATTCAAGGCTGTATATAATGTATTGTATTGCTGTTGTCTGACAAATGATTTGGAAAACCAGTAAAGTGTTTCAGCAATAAGGTATTCCAAATTCCTTAGTAAATATTTAGATGAAGCATGTGATAATGCTAGCTGCAATGAATGACGCATACATTTTATAAGTATTAACGATGGGATAGCTTCCTTCAACTTGGCAAAAACGCCATTGTTTATAACAACCATCACCGAGGCTCAGACTTTACTTTTGGCATGTTGTAAGGTTTTTTCGAAGTGAAAGCCACATATGAAGGTAAGCAATTATTTAAAAAAAAAATCAAATGATAAAGAAACACAAGGCCAGCACAGTGAGAATTACGGTTAAAACAAAGTTTGTATGATTTACGCGCGCTTTTAATTAATCAGTACTGGGGCTGTCATATATTTGAGCGTTGACCCCAGTGAGAGTTCAGAATTTGAGTAATCGCAATTGTCATAATTTACGTGCCAGACCAAAACAAAAATATTGTTGTAAATATTTTACACAACAATTATTAAACTGACACTTGAAAAAAATCTATAAAATATCTTACATCTAATGAAAAAATTTTGGAAAAATATGTACTATTTAAACGTCAAAAACACAATCTAAATGCAAGTAAAACATCTAAATCTGGATGTATAACATTCAAAGTGGCAACACTGCACAGGAAATAAACATAAGTTAATGTAAAAATCGAATCGGAAATTTGTTCCGAATATATTTAGTAATTAAGCGAAATTAAGAACCGACAACACAGCACTCAGGGCATTGCCATCTGCGCTTCGTCCTTATCTTCAGCAGTCATCGATGAAATTGCTATGGTACCAGCACAGAGTGATTATATTTGTCGTGCCTTTCCTCTGAGGGCAGAGTGCCGACTAGATCACGGGGCTGTTAATTCAAATCAGTGAGCATAACATAAAGGTTACGATGAGTTATTTTCTACGTGTGTATAGCCACGGCCAGCTCCAGATTTTTATAATTAGAGAAGGGCGTGGTATAGCCAACTTATCGTGCCTGACTACTTTCATCAACGACAAGCTGCATTTCTGATGGCAACTGTTGGCTTTGCCTGGTAGTAGTCTGGTCTGGTAGTCTTA